AGAAAGTTTCTACCTGTGCCCAGGAGCCCTAGTGTTTCCTCTTTCCTATAATAATTTCATGGTTTCAGATCTTAAATTGAGATTTTTTGATCCATTTTGTTACTAGTATAAGGATATGTGTGTGTGTGTGTGTGTGTGTGTGTGTGTGTGTGTGTGTGTGTAATTTCTGTTTTCTGCATGTGGTTATTCAGTTTTGTTAGCACCATTAAAAAGAGGCTGCATTATCTACCATAGCTAAAATATGGAACTAACCCAGATGCTCCTCTGTGGATGAGTGGATCCAGAAAATGTGAGATATATAAATATAAATCCACATATATATATATATGTGGATATATATATTATATGAATTCTATGCTTCCATTAGAAAGAATGGCACTGCCCCATTTGTAAGGAAATGGAAGGACTTGGAAAAAAATCATATCAAATGAAGTAATACAGACCCAATGAAACATAGGCCCCATGGTCTCCCTTATTTGTAATAATCAGTATATATCTAGGATAATCTTAGCAGATGAGCAGAATAGCTCAATAGCTATGTACATATGACCATATAAGATGATGCTAAGTGAAATGAACTCCAAGAACTGGACACAAGAAGTTTTTCTTTGTTGTTGTTGTCCTCAATGTATGACATGATTTGTTTTTTTTCTTTTGTGTTTTTGCCCTTATGGTTTATCCCTTGTTGTCACTGCACTTGATTTTGGTACCTTGGGTATTGTATATATGGTTATCTGCACTAGGAAAGTGAAGGGAATAACAAAATGGTGAGACCAAGGACAAAGGGGGAACCTATGCAACAGTGATACTCACAAGACAATACCTTGGAAATGATCTCTACAACCTGGCGGTGGAGATGTGGGGAGAGGGAAAGAGGGAGAAAAATGAGGGAGGGGGTAACAAGTTTGACAAGAAATCTATTTATTACCTTACTTATATAACTGCAACCCTCTGTACATCACCTTGATGATTAGAAAAAGTGAACAAGCAAAAAGAGAAAAGAAAAAAGAAAAAAAAGAAAAATGAGAGACAAATCGGCCTGTCAGTATTTCTAAGAGCTATTAAATTATTTGCATCTTTATACTCTTATTTATGGTGCTTGAATTATTTGCTTTAGGTGGTTATCTAGAAGATGGATTGATCTACTTCTTTTTGCTTAGGCAATAAAAATTCTTTTAAAACCCTAATTCTATTTTATTTCTGGATTTACTGGGCTGAATTTCTCACACTTCTTAGCAATGTTTCTATGGGGCTTGTATTTAAAATTAATTCTCTTTGTCAGACAATGTGACCAACCAAAGTGTATTCAAATGGAAGATAGTTTCCAAAGTAAGCACAACTTCCACTTTGTTTCTTGTATTACAGCATATTCATACTGTTTTCCTGAAGCTTCTTGTGCCTTTAATACTCAGATTGAGGTCTAAAGAAGGTAAGCTGCAGAGTTAACTGAAACTTTCTAGAAGGAGGTAGCTCAGAGAAAGCCTTCATTTGCTCCAATCTGTGGGTTGCTGCTCTATCCCAGCCTTTTTCTCCAACTGCTTCCCTTAGGTAGAAGGCCAGAAAAAGATTTCCCCTTATGACTGCCACTAGCTGTGCTTCCCCTGTGATTTTTTTCAGACTGGCTCTTAAAAATCCTTTGTTATGTCCATGTGGTTTTGACATGACTGTGAGTTAGTTGCTCTAACTCTTGCATATGCTATATTGTAATTAATATGTTTGTGTACACATGAATATGGCCCTGTATATATTGACTTGTATATTTATAAATTATAGCTAGCTTACACATATACTCAGGCCTTTGTCTCTTTGTCCCTAATTTCTTTCACTTAACAATTTTTTCAATACCATCTATTTATTTGCAAATTATGTAATTCCATTCTTCTTAAATACAAAACTTTTTGTTAGTTTTATTCATAGATTTTTGTTTTGTTTTCCACTATGATAAATTAGATATTTTAATTCTTTTCATTATATTCAACTGTTGCTCAGATATACGGAGTATATTGAATTTTGGAGGTCATATTTGTGATTATCTACATTATTGAATGTTTTTGTTGCTTGTAATCATTGATGTTTTTACATGTTCTAGTATATGATGGCAATATTTAGAAAATAAATTGTCCTTTTTTTCTATTTTCAACTACATTGAAAAGTACTGACAGGTTAATGTTAACTAACCGTATTAGTGTTAACTAAACAGCTTTCAGTTTAATGTCTCATTACCTTTCTAAATTAAGGAAAAAAGATCCTTAACCAGTTTTTCCATTGGAACACTATTTCTATTTCTTCTGGTAGACTTATGACCTTATGCAAAGTTAATGCATGGACAAAAGTATTCCTGAATTCCAAAAAAACTATGCAATTTTTTCTGTTTCCATTTTTTTTGGGGGGGGGCCCCGGTCGTGGGGCCTGAACTCTGGGCCTGGGCGCTGTCCCTCAGCTTTTCAGCTCAAGGCTAGCACTCTACCACTTGAGCCACAGCGCCACTTCCAGCTTTTTTCTTTTTGCTTATGTGGTGCTGAGGAATTGAACCCAGGGCCTCAGGCATGCAAGGCAAGCGCTCTACCACTGAGCCACCTTCCCAGCCCGTTTCCATTTTTGTGGCCGAATCGGGACTATCAGAATTTCATATAATAATCTGTATTATTTGTTTCTATATTCCTGAGCTCTTTAAAAATTAGTTTACATGGTAGCTGTATACAGTGGGTCAAACTTGTAATCCTGGTTACTTCAGAGGATCATGGTTCAAGAATAATCTAATCAAAAAGTTTATGATTCCTACATTTGTAATAATGAGTATATATCTAGGATATTCCTAGCAGATGAGCAGACTAGCTCAATAGTTATGTACATACGCCCATGCAAGATGATGCTAAGCGAAATGAACTGAAAGTCATGGACAGAAGAGGTTTCTTTCTTTCTTGTTATTTTTAATATACTATGTGATTTCTTGTTTCTTTTGTATTTTTCCCCTCTATGGTTTATCTCCTGTTGTCACTCTATTTGATTTTAGTACCTTAGGCATTGCATATATGTTTATCCAAATTAGAGAAGAGAAGGGGAACAACAAAATGGTGAGACAAAGGACAAAGTGGGAAACCAATGCAACAGCGATACTCACAAGACAATATGTTGGAAATGATTTGTACAACTGGGGGCTGCAGGAAAGTGGGGGAAAAATGAGGGAGGGGTAACAAGTTTGACAAGAAATGTACTCACTACTTTACTTATGTAACTGTGACCCCTCTGTACATCACCTTGACAATAAAATAAAATAAAAAATTTATGAGATCCCATCTCAGTCCGTGGCTAGGTACAGTAGTGTGAGCACAGACATTTCAGCAGCAGTTCTGCTAAGTTCTCCGTGCACTTAAGAACCGTTTCTTCAAGATTCTTAGTTTTATCTTGATTAATTTATTTGAATCCTGTAATAGGCTATTTTTAGTCTTATTAAGTGATATGATATGATAAAAAGGTTTCTAGATGTGACACCAGAATCAGTAAAGGGTGAATTAGTGTTAAGCTGAATTTTTTAAAAAAAAAATCTTTTTTTCCAATTTTTCTTTTTTTTATTGTGAAAATACTGTACAGAGGGGTTACATGGGCAAGGTAATGAGTACATTTCTTATCAAGCATTGTTGCCTCCTCCTCCTTTGTTTCCCCTACCCATCCCTTCCCTTCCTCCCTGCCCCATAGCATCTTAAGTTAGGAAGATGTGGAAATTACTCTAAAAATAGCAACCAGAACAATTCTATTATAATAGTTATGTCCATAGATGATAGACTTTTTCACTTACTCATTTATTTAAATCATATCTTGTTCCCCAAAGACTCTCAACCATATTTCAAAATCCATAATAGCAGAATCACTAGACAAGAATGGGTGAGGGAAGATAATGGGGGTGGAGAAAAGCAAAAGCAAGTGGGGTACTTCAGCAAGCAACAGCATCTATTTAGGTTCTCAACAACTAAGTCAACAGGATAATGTGAGCAGTTATTATATTTCCAGGGTCATGAGAAATACAATCCAGTTGCTCACCAGAAGCATATGGATTGAGAGTTCAGCAAAAATTTATCTGATGTTTTTAATCAAGAGAACAGACGGAGTGATAAAGAAGCTGGCACTCTCAATGTCATTTCTATAATAAATATGATATAAAAGTCAGAGTAATGATACTATAATTTCTTCAGTTCAGTCCAAATCATAACTTCATAAATATTTCAAAAAGGCAATTATGCAAATGATCCAGATAAGCCACTCCCAGATGGTCTGGTTTATCCAAGAGCAAAATTTCCTTTCGATAATCCTCAATGAATATTATTTTCATGACACATTAATCATACATGAGATAGCCTTCCCTAATATAGATAGTCACTGCGTACTCTAAAATAATTTGCCAGATAATTTCCATGTAGGAAATGCAACCAATTAATTATGTTTTTAAGACAAGTCCAGTCGTGATTAAATACCCTCTCCTTACATTATATTCTGCTGGTTTCTGTTTTCTTCTCTGGAGAGATTCATTCCATCTTATAAAATGTGCAAGAAAATTATTCTTAGGTATAGCTCCCTGGGTCATTGTAATGAGCAGATTTTGTTTATAGGGTAATTCTGAAAAATGCCATAAACTTAGAGATTACAAGTGTGGCTTATTCTATTAACTCATTAAAATAAGTAACTGAGTCAACCCTGATACTCCAGCCTCCATGATTTTTTTTTCTTTTTCTCTTTCATTATATGAGAAGTACCACTATTGACCTAAACAAGGACGCAGTGTCTTTTCACAGATGTGCTAGCCCTTGAAGGGTAATTTAAAATTAACTCAAGTAGTAAAGGGCCTATCTGAGCAAATCAGAGAGACCACGAAGAAACCCACAAAAGCTTAAATCGGGGTATAGCTTGCACTAGATGCACGTGTATATTGTGCTCCAGAAGTCAGGACAGTGCATCTTCAATACCTATCATCTTGATAGATGAAGAGTGTGGATATACTGCCTTACCTCAGATCAGCAGCTTTCCCGGTCTTGTTAATACACATAACCTCCCTGGTTTGATATCCGATCTGGATGTCCCAGAATTTGTTCTCTTGCCTGTTCTGCCTGTTTCTATTTCTCTTTTTCTTGATCAGTTCTCGGGCCTCCGGATCCTTCACCCCTTTGCCTCTCTCTTTTTCCCGCTCTTTGTTCTTTCTGCGTCGCCCCGCCTGCCTGGACACTCTGGGGTGCGGCATGGAGCAGGTGCTCCAGGCCCCCACTTGCAGGCTGTACAAGCTTTCCTCCGCCTCGCAAGGACTAGACTGGCACACCTGAAACTCGGTCAGGTTCGGGCAGCCCGAACCCCCGAACTGAGGGGGTGCCACCACGTGCCGAGTCCGGTGCTGAAGCCCACTGCCACAGGTCTTGGAGCATTCAGACCAGGAGGAAAACTCAGACACGATGCAATCTTGCTGGCAGGGAATGAGGCAAGCCTGTTCCAGGAGGGGCTTGGGCTCAAAGTATTCACAGATGATGTCCTCCGCAGGAATGTCTTTGTCTTTCTGGATGCACGTTATCTCTCTCACCTGGATGCCCTCTTCCCCCTTAGTACACTCCAGTGGTTTCTCCAGGCTCTTGGAAATCACAGGCTGACACTGATTCCAGGGTCCCAGCTTCCAGTCGTACAACTCTTTGTGCCAGTCACACACTTTGAAACAGTTCTGCTGGTTGTGAGGCCTCCCTGCCTGCTTGCAGTTTGTATGGAGTGTTGTCCAGCCTTCCACGTGAGCACACCACACGGCCCTGGTTTGGATGCCTCCTGGACCACAATCATCTCCCATGCATCGGCCCCATGGACCTGCAAAACAATGCAAGAGTTCACGTTGCTGCTAGAAGAAAAGGCAAAGTTAGTATGTCACGTTCCAGAAAGACCTAGTACATTAACTTCCCTGAAGTCTCATGAAAGTAGGTCCCTCTGCGAAACGGCTGGAAAAATGGTGATCTTCATTAAGTACTTTTTCTTCTTCTTATTTTTTTTAATGAAAGAGGAACTGTGCCACTGTGTCTATATACGGCAGTGTCTGGGGCAATTTCACCTTGGGTCGTTTTGGGATTACTAAAAGTTTGCTTTATTTTAGGTAGTTAGAAATCCTTGCTCATAAAGGACATTGGAAATTAGTCACAATGAATTCATTACTCCTGTCTCACAACCATTTTAGTAACTGCAAAGAAAATAGCCCATCGTGAAAGATTACTTCTGCAGGCTTTTCTTTTCCTGGGTAATTAACTGTTTTGTAGAACATGCTCTCTCCCACTTCATTTTTATCGTAATAGCCTGTGACTGCCTAGGTCTAACAGCTGTGTACTGAGTGCCGACAGAATCTAAAGTGTTGACTTTGAAGGGAATTGAAGCCAAGCACATACAAGATCTTCATGTCAGCACATTTTACCTTTACATTTCCAAAAACAAAGTTATGCACACACACACACACACACACACACACACACACACACACACGTGTATAGGTATATATGTATGCATTTTTATGTATTTATTTGATTTAATTTCCTTAGTGAGGTACAGATATATGTTAGGGAATTTAACCCCAAAGGGTATTTTTAACTTACTGAGGGATGATTTGAGAGTTTTATCAATTTATTTCCTGAATATGAACTAATTAGTATCATAGAACTGTTTTATGGGATACTCATGTCAAAGGTTTTGGAATGGAATGGAAATTCTTACCTAATAAATCTTCCTGCAAAGACATAGAAACCTTTACTTCCTATATTATTTCCTTTTGTAAGGAAAATTATATAATTTTCCAAAGGTTTAAAGATAAACTCATGTAATTGAAAACTACACTTTAGAATTAGGAAAAAACTTAATAATTATATAATTACATGATTTCCTAAATGTGTTCCATGAATTTGAATGATTGAGACCCTAGACTGTCCTCAAGAAGTTCTCTGGGAAGGAAGGGTCAAGATGATAATCTGTAGGGCACACACACACACTCATACGCACACACACACATACAATTTTGCCACCCTTCGTGATTACTGCTTCTATTTAAAAGAAAAAAAAGCTATTTTATTATTTATTTGAATTGCAGTGGAGATTCTGTATACGATTTTTTTTTCTGCAAGAGGCTTCTACTGCTCAAAAGCACAAATGCATTAAACTAGGCCAAAAGATTCATCCTGGTTGACAACAGCAGCAACCGCAATGGGGAGTCATTTGCCAAGCTCACGTCTTCCTGTGTATTTATGAGTCATTCATTCATTCATCTATTTTGGTGATACCGGAGATTGGGTTGAGGGCTTCACTTTGCTAGTGCTCCACTACTTTAGTCACTCCACAGCCTTTTTTGCTTTTGGTTTGCTTTTGATAGGTTCTCGTGCTTTTGCTTAGCTTGCTTGAACCAAGATCTTCCTACCTCCATCATCCACATAGCTGAGACTAAAGGCTAGTACCACCATACCTTGCCTGTAAATTCACATCTTGAATGAATAATAAAGAACGATCTAGATTTTAGATTCACTTCTCACTTGTAGTTTCATGGTACATTCAATAATTGAGAGTATGAGTAAACATGTTCTTCAGACAATAAAAGCAGTTGCTCATTTATACAACAAGAAATATAAAAAAATATGCTTATACTGTGTACTCATTTAAGTTTGAGAAAGATGTTTAAAATGTGATGATGTTATCTTCCATATGGATTTTATACCCTACTTATAAATGGAAGAGACATCAATATGCTAAGCATTCATTCTAAACATCTAAAATGAGCACTGGGTAATTTGCACAACCTAATACATTTCTACTTTACAAAGTTCATTAGCTAAAATGCTATGAGGAATTTATAATTCCTTAAACAGTCTTCCTTGAGTGCTGATATCAAAACTTCATAAATTAAAAAAAATAGTCAATTTGTTCCAATTGTCAATATAAAATACTGAAAATACTTTAAGCTTATATTTTCATTGCCAAGGAAAATCCCTTAGAGAAATGATATTGTATTTCACATTCATAAAACTTATGATACTTGTCATTAAAAACTGAATAAGATGATAGATTTTAAAATTAATTTCACATATTTCATATTTCTTTCCTTTTTCCATTATGTTTGAATAATCCTAATTCCTACCTGACATAACTAAATCACAGTCAAAATTTCAAAAGCAAAAAAAAGGAAAAATATTGATATATTATTGTTTTTCATTCTTGATAATACTCATGAAATTAGACTGATTAAACAGCTTGGGTCTCTAAAAAGTTTGATATTTATTCTTGTAATGAAAAAAACAATGTTTAATATTGTAGATAAAATATAAAGTTCTCATTTAAAGGCAATTAATTGTACATTTTAGATAGGTGAAGTGCATTATTCAGTGAGTGAATTTTCATTGCAAAAATCTGAGCACATAGTATGGTGCTGGTGGCTCACGCCTGTAATCCTAGGTACTCAGGAGGCTGAGATCTGAGGGTCACGGTTCAAAGCCAGCCCAGGCAGGAAAAACCTTGAAACTCTTATCTCCAATAAACCACCAGAAAACTGGAAGTGGTGCCTTGGCTCAAGTGGTAGAGTGCTAGTCTTGAGCTGAAGAGCTGAGGGACAGTTCTCAGGCCCAGAGTTCAAGCCCCATGACCAACAACAAAATATAAAATCTGAGAACAAAAACATGAATTGACTTCAAATCTCTATGCCATTGTTATGCAAGAAAACATGTATTTAACAAATAATTCTTTTTTCCTAAAAAACACAAAAACTGTAAAAATAATGAAACAAACAATACTGGTTAAAATTTAAATCTGAAAAGCATACTGGAAATATGGACTGGAGAAAGCCTTAAAATTATAAATTAGGTAAAACAAAAAAACAGACTGTTAAATTTCTTTCAAATAAATGTAAATAATGACTTTGAAAATGATTGGTGGATTACTGACACTGAAGCAAGGAAAGTTCCCTGTGTGTTCTCAAAGCACCCTGCATCTTTTTCGTATCATGTCTATCCTAAATCCAATTAGTTTATATGATAATTGCCAAGTATTATCTTATCAAATAAGACCATTTCTATGCTCCCTCAGGATAGGACTTTGTTTTTTGCAACAACTTTAGGTCATGTTCATAGAATAAACTCAACGTCCACTGAATGAATGAGGACAAAAACTAAAGAAAATAATTCCAATTAATCTCTGGATTAGTTTCATGTTAATTATAGTTAAGAACAAAATGTTCTTTTGGAATAAATCACTTCAAAATATAAAGATTTCTTATTTTTTACTTGTTACTGAATATATGAGAATATGCTAGTAGCATATTTTATTAGCTTAAATTCATTAAAAATATAAAGTAATTCTTATTGTCATGTTCACTGAATACAAGGACCATATATGTTGTATGATTTCACATATATTTTATATTTTTTTAACAAAAACCTGTTATGGTACTAATTGAATGGAACAATTAGTCATTTTCCATAGTTTCAGTGTATCATGTAATTTTGCTGGCTTACTATTAGATGAACATCTTCAATTATTTTGTTCAGAAAGGATAAAAGTTAGTCTGTAGAACTTACTATGGAAGTGATCCATGGTTGATTCAATTTCAGCACACACTATAATAAGTAAGAAATTTTAATGTTTGCCTAAATAAGAAATTCTAAAGGTTATTTATGTACCTTACAAATATAAATACATTTTAAGGGCCATTCTAGTGATATCACAGATTCTTATTAGCAGGCTATTCACAGATTACACTGTTGGGCTTATTTTATCCCTAGATGTTTATATTGAGAATAAGGAAATAGTATAGACAAAAAAAAAATGCCACAGTGATCTACTGAATATACTTAGAATAGTCCTAGCAGATGAACAGAATAGCTCAATATGATCATATAAGATGATGCTAAGTGAAACGAACTCCAAGATATGAAAACAAGAGGTATTTCTTTGTTGCTGTTTTTAATGTACTATGCAATTTCTTTTCTCTGTTGTTTTTCCCCTATGGTTTATCCCCTGCTGTCACTGTGTGATTTTGGTACCCTGGGTTATATATATATATTGTTTATCTGAATTAGGGAAAGGAAGGGAAACAACAAAAAAAGGACAAAGGGTGAGCCAATGAAACAGCGATACTCACAAGACAATATGTTGGAAATGAACTTTACAACTTGGGAGGAGGATTGGGGGGAGGGAAAGTAGGAGAAAAATGAGGGAGGGGTAACAAGTTAGATGAGAAATGTACTCACTACCTTATGTATGTAACTATAGCTCCCTCTGCACATCACCTTTATAATAAAATTAAATTAAAAAAATACCTACTGATGCTAAAGAAAAAAAGCAAAAATGTATGACAGTAGAAATGGCAATATAGTCATGATTGAGCCTAAAAAGAACTCATCCACTTTTCAGGCTTTAACTACTGTCTTATCTCTTCTCTGCACCTTGTGTATTGCACATATGTCCAATTAAGTGATCTCTGGAAAGATCAGATCTTCAGCCCAGTATACCTGATGAAGGGCTGTCTACTTCAGCCCTGCAAGCAATCTTGAAATAATCACACATTTACCTGAAGGGGGATGCATCAAAAATTGCTCCTGGCAACTAATAATTGTTAACCCAATTAGCTACCCTGTTTAGAGGTGCACAAATCCTTCAAAATGCAATTTGGGAACACAGTATCTGAACTCTGTGAAGGAAGACAGGAAGCCTGCTGCCCAGTATAACACAAGAAGAGGTCATTCGAGTAGAACACATCAAAGATTTCCACACAAATGTTAATATTCAGCTCCTCACATTACTAAGAGTAATAGAAGGTGGTAGTGGAAAAGTGATGGCCGTGGAAGGGG